TCCCATGGCTGCACCCATGAGCTTTGGTGGACTTTGGAGCTGGAAGGAAGAAAAACCTCGCGGCCATTTGTCCCTCTGTCCTGCTTTTCAGGAGCCTCCTGTCCCCCTCCCACCTTCCCCCAGCTCCACTCCACCCAGGGCATTCTCTGAGGAGATCCCTTCTCCAAACCCCACAGCTCCAATAAATGTTTTGTTAATGACCCATAATGACTTTCCTGCTCCCACCTGCAGCACAGACACCCCTGGAAGCCCCAAAAAGTCTTTCTGTGGCCCTGAGCCTCCCCCAGCCATTCAGTGCTCTCCAACAAAAATGGACCCCAGTGGTTTTGCCATAAAACACCAGCAGGAATTCAGTTTTTAAGCTGTCCACATCTATGTTAATTTTGGCCCATCCCCTATGTTTAAGAGATTATTGCTTAAGATCCTTTCAAATTTTTAAAGCAGGTATTTTATTTATCCTATGGAAGGTACTGAATGTGCATCAGCTATTTATCCCCTAAATCTTAATCCTTAAGCCTTAAAAAAAATATAAAAGTTGTGTATTGCTATAGAAAATCCAGATACAGATAAACCTTCTCATTTAAATTTGATCCTGGGCATTTTTATTCTAATCTCTGATATTTCTAGAAGATTCCCTTCATTTCCCAGCTTCCTTTTCCTGCAAATGTCTTTTTATATTCCCTCAAACATTGCAGAGTTTCACAATATGAACTCCCACTATTGAATTAGAAATTTATTACGAAGAACACAAAAGAGCTTAAAACAGAGATCTGTCAGAATATAAATAATTTTCCAATCGTGATTTTTGTTCTTCCTGCACAACTAATAACACATTGGGCACTTAAAATGAGAAAATTAACAACTCTTTCCATCTGAATCTTTTCTTCTGTTTGCTTTCTGAATCTTGTTCTGTTGTGACAATCAGATATTTCTGATTATTTCCCCAGTTTATTTCTGTTTATGCCATGATCAGGTTCAATAAAATCACTCCACAGCCATATGCTGCTGTGGTTTTTATTGGCACTACAGGGGAACATTTAATTTTCATTTCTACCTTAACTTTATTTCTATCTGACTGTTTGAAAAAAAAAAAACCACTGACAAAAACCTTATCCTGGTTCGATCCAAGGGTGGAAAAAGCCACTCATGTGGCTAATGGAGAAAATATTATTTTTTTTTTGAAGGTACAGGTTTGGAGACATTTTCTTGTGGCTACTTCTATGAAATATAAAAAAGAAACAATTTGTGGGTCATATTTAAGGTGTTTTTAGCTGGGACCATGAGCAGCAGAGCAACCAAGGCTGGGTGGGACAGAACTCTGAGCATCCAAGGCTGGGCTGGGCAGAGCTTTGAGCATCTCTGGAGCATCCAAGGCTGGGCTGGGCAGAGCTTTGAGCATCCCTGGAGGATCCAAGGCTGGGCTGGACGGAGCTCTGAGCATCCCTGGAGGATCCAAGGCTGGGTTAGACAGAACTCTGAGCATCCAAGGCTGGGCTGGGCAGAGCTCTGAGCATCGCTGGAGGATCCAAGGCTGGGTTGGACAGAGCTCTGAGCATCCAAGGCTGGGCTGGACAGAGCTCTGAGCATCCCTGGAGTACCCAAGGCTGGGCTGGACGGAGCTCTGAGCATCCAAGGCTGGGTAGGACAGAGCTCTGAGCATCCCTGGAGCACCCAAGGCTCGGTTAGACAGAGCTCTGAGCACCCTGCTCTGGTGGAAGGTGTCCCTGCCCATGCCAGGAGGTTGAAATTAAATAAGAATGGGTTTTAAGGTCCTTTCCAACCCAAACCATCCTGGTCCAGCTTCCTGCTTAGATCAGGGTACCCTTCCATGGGCTCAGGTCCCTCAGTTCCTCACTCAGAGGAGCCCTAAAAGAACCTCCCTGGGCAATGGCACTGCAGCTCCTCCAGCTCTGGAACTGCCTCATCTGCTTCCCCAGTGTGCTGTGTCCCCTCCAAGCACTGCTCATCCCCCTTTTTATTCCCACATGTCCCCAAACACTTCCCTGAGCAGGGACATTGGGGACAGCAAGGACCTGGAGGGTTCCTCAGCCCAGGAGCTGCACTTTGTGCCTGGAGCTGCACCTTCAGAGGGACCAGCTGGGGCTGGATGTGTCACTCATGCTCAGGAAGGAGTTTTTTTTGTACCCACACATGCTCTGGAAGGAGTTTGTTTGCTCCAGAGGTTGCACTTAAACCTTAGGCCAGACTATGAACCACGACCTAGAACCAGGGACATCAAGGACCCAGAACCAGGGACACCAAATTCTGCACTTCCACCCTGCAAGACCAGGGCCTAGATGAGGCCCCCAGTCCATCCTGCACAGCTTGTGGTCAGTGAAATCTCTTTTCTACCTTTTGCTTTCCTTCCTCTGCCCTTTTCCTGATTTAATTTCCAACTTTGTCCTCGATGAACAAGAAAAATCCTGCAGAGCAGCACAATCCTTGTGCAGAACTTGAGGAGGGCCCAGCCTGAGGTGGGGAGGGATGCTCAGAACAGGAACTGCCTGATCCTGCAGGTTTTTTTCCCCAGTTACAACCAGAAACCTTCACTTTCCACCAGCTGAAATAAAGTTTGAGCTCCCTCAGGAGCCCTGGCCTGGAGTTTGAAATCAGAATAAATACTCAGACTGGTTTAAAGTTCCTTTTGTTGTCTCAGGGTGAAGTAGACAAAGATTTTTCTTTTTCGCCCTAAGAATGACAACAAACCAGCCCCCAAACCCAGAGAAAACCTGTTAGAGCAGAGAAACACCACCTTGTGCATGGGATTTATGGGTGCAGGACATGCTTGAGCTCCATCCAAACACAGGGAAAACAAAGTCCAGGAACCCCAACATGACCTGGATCAACCCAAATCTCACCCAAGCATGTGCTCAACCCTCAGTGTTCCTGCATGGGAGCCACAAGCCAGGATGCAAAGGCCCAGCAGAACAGTGGGAATATCACACAAAGCAGGGAAATCCTCGGCACAGTGAGAGAGAGGCCCAGCACATGGATTTAGCACAGCATTGTGACAGGAATGGGCTTCCTGAGGCACAGAGAGAGGGGAAAAAGGCATTCAGAGGCTTTTGGTTGAGGGGCATCTGTCACAATTCACACCAAGTCATGCCTCTGCATTTACAAGTAATTTTCCAGCCACGTTTCAGTTCCAATAAAAGGAAAAAGAATTTCCTCCAATGTGTTTATCTGATTGCCAGCAATTTCCATTGCAAGGCAGATGAAATAAATAAACACATTTATGTTTATTATGAATAAATAACAGACTCCTGAGCATCTCAGCAGCAAACATTATCATATGGCACTTTTTGCAGCCTAATTTTCCTTGGGAATGGGCTGCTTTGGGCAGCACAGCTCAATCACAGGCTGCTTTTGAGTGCCTCATGCTGTTGAATACACCAAAGAAATAATTCTCCTACCAAAGCAGGGGAAAAGGTTGTAAATTCTGATTGTAACTTACATGGCTGTTGAGCAAACTGCTTTTGTGTGATGTTATCCCTTCATTTTTTTGTAGGTTTTCAATCGCCATTTCAAGCTAAAGAAAAACGTGCACAGGAGAGAGAGAGAGAAAACAAAAAAAAAAAAAAAAAGGAAAAAGAAAGGAAATCAGATAGTTAGCAACAGCCAGGATTATTGTTTCTTTATTAATATTTGAATGATTAATGCTTTATATCAACAAGCTGGTGAAAAAGAGGCAAACAGATGTGGATGGAGCTGCAGAGGCGTTACTGGGACATGCAAATGGAAACACAGCAGGGATCCCCACAGGGGTGACAAAGCAAGGCTGGGGGGGTTTATCTTCCACTAAAAGCACTGCCTATTTCTATAAAAAAAGCAATTTTCCTCCTCTTTTTCCCTTCCTGCTGAGAGCAAACCATCACTAGGCAGATGCACTGCAGAGATTGGCTGCAGAGCTGGACCCAGGCTTTCCAAGGAGAGCTGGCAGTAATGACTTGGTCACCTCTCCATATTTTGTCAAAAAAAATCTAAAAAATTAACTAAAACTGGGGTGCAAGGAGAGTGCATGAACTGGAATGGCCAGAGATTGGCTGCAGAGCTGGACCCAGGCTTTCCAAGGAGAGCTGGCAATAATGACTTGGTCACCTCTCCATATTTTGTCAAAAAAAATCTAAAAAATTAACTAAAATTGGGATGCAAAAAGAGTGCATGAACTGGAATGGTCAGAGACTGGTTGCAGAGTTGGACCTCAGTTTTCCAAGGAGAGCTGGCAATAATGACTTGGTCACCTCTTCATAATTTGTCAAAAACCCCAAAAATTAAATAAAGCTGGGGTGCAAGGAGAGTGCATGGACAGGAATGGGTGAGGGCTCTCTGCTGCTGACAGCTGCAAAGGGAAGAAGGCAGAGCCAGATTTCACTTGGGTGATTTCTCCCCCAGAAGCCAGGCTGGAACATTTGGTGCTGCCTGTTCGGGTTTCTGTTGATCTCAGAGCAGCCAAGGTGAGATTTCCTGGCTCCTGAGGAGCCCCTGACCCCCTGGCTGCCTCCTGCTCCCCTTCAGCCCAGCTGTGGATTCTGCCTTGTGCCTCAAGCCTCTCCTGAACCCTTCTTGTCTTCTCCATTCTGCTGCTGGAGCAGAACCTGGGCTCCTTGAGCAGATGGCTGCTGGTCCCAAAACTCCAGTGCTCCCCTACAGGAAAAAACAATCCTCAAACCTCCCCAAACCCCACATCAGAGCCTGGCAAGAACAGAACCTGTTTGTTTCCAGCAGATGTTCCCTGTTTGAGGTGTCCCAAACCCTGTTGGCTGTGCCCAGGCAGGACAAGGACACAGAACCTGCAGCCAGAGCTCTGCTCTGTCCTCATTTAACACTTTGAGGGCACACCCACAAAACATCTGCAGATGATGTGTCCCTGTCCATGGCCTCCTGCCTGCCCTGACTCAGCCCACAGTGGAGATCAGATAAACCCAGCCCTGCACAAAGCCAGGCTCTGTCACAGCAGGGTGGCAGAGCAGACATCAGACCCAGCTTCTGAGGTGACATCCAGCAACCACATCCAGGTGTGAAGGTGGCATCACCTCCAGCACAGTCCCTTGTTCCCACCCCAAAGTGGAACTGCTTCTGGAGGGGTTCTGCCTAAATTCAGGCTCAGATTGGTGGGGTCTCACTGTCTCACTCAATTCAGGCTCAGATTATTGGGGTTTCACTGCCTCACACTTCATCCAATTTAAACTCAGATTATTGGGGTTTCACTGCCTCACTTCTCCCCCAATTCAGGCCCAGATTAGTGGGGTGTCACTGTCTCACACCTTCCCCAATTCAGGCTCAGATTAATGGGGTCTCTGTCTCACTTCTCCCTTAATTCAGGCTCAGATTAGTGGGGTCTCACTGCCTCACTCCTCCCCAATTCAGG